ACAAAAAATCGGGTCCTTTCTTCTTTAGCACAGTGGGCACGCAGCTTATTATGCGTGTGACGGCCTAACTGCTACAACATCGAGTCATTGGAGACATTCTTGAACAATCAGCTGTTTTTTTGGGTTGTTTTTTTTTTTTCCTAAGTGCTTTACGGCGTTCGCAATTGCATAAGGTCATACGAGCGCGTGGGACACATGAAACATTTTCGGATGGTAGGAAATTATGAATTACGCCCGGGTGGGGGCCAAAACCTCTTTTATCGATTTTGGACCACCAAGGGATCTTTAATGGGCACAGCGTTCACGTGGGACATCTGTGATTTTTCATCCTTTTCCGAGAAGGCAAAGTGGCGTCGGCAGCCTAGTGGTTAGGCTACGGGACTCGTAATCGTTAGATTGTGAGTTCGGGGGTTTGAGCCTCAGCTCGGTACGACGTTGTGTCCTTGGGAAAGGCACTTTACACGAACTTCCCACTTGGCTCGGTCCTATCGGAGACGGACGTTAAACTAATAGTGTTGATAGGGGCGTTAAACCAAGAACTATACCATTTCATTTTCGAGAAGGCAAGGTGAAAATCTCTCCTCCTACCATAAGATCTGGGGTGCGGCTGAAAGACAGCAGTAAGCAGGAGCCAAGGAGTAGCAGTAGAAAGGCTGTAGAAAAAGTGAGGAGCCCAGAGGAGGGGACAGAGGACGGGCAGAAAGTTGAGATGAAAGTAGACGACAGAACATTGTTAATGTTAGAGATCAGGAAGGGATGTGAATGAAAGGAGACAATTTTAGAGAAGAAAAATTTCCGTCGCTATCTGGATTTGAATCCACGACCTATTGAATGAGAAGCAAACTCCTTAACCCCAAGACCGCGAGAGCCCCCCTCAACCAGGTGTTAAAGGGATATTTATATGAACTCTCGGCGTCACCAATGAACAAGTGCACATTGTGCTTTAATTGTTCATAACAAAACCAAACACAAAAGCAGTTTTGAAAAGGCTGTGAATGTAATTCTGCACAACAGCAGCCTCAAATGGAGCAAGAAAGTTGTTAATGTTCTTTTATTATGGGTTTGAAAGAAGAGGGATTTTTCTTCTCTTTTTTTGGG